AGCCAAAGTTGATGCTTAACCGACTGAGCCACCCAGGCGCCCCTCAAGTCGTCTTTTTCCACAAACCATAAGCCCATGCCAATTTCCTCATGGTTGTCAGACAGCCAGCAAGTCTGTTGGTTCTCCTTTCATAACGTCTCTCTTTTATCTCCCCTTTCTGCCTCCCCATCATCTCCTCCTTTCCAGTACTCATAACCTTTAGCTTGCATTACAGCAATAGCCGCCTAACAGGTTTTCATGATTTTTCCCCTTTCAGTGCATTCTGTACACTGATCTGAGAAGAAAAAAGAAAAATCATTTTCATCATGTAATACTCTGCTCAAAATTTTCTAGTGGTTCAAGTTCCTCTATCTTGAACAACCCAATATTCAATCTTGTCTCCAGTTTTTCCCTACCCCCTGAACTACGCAGATTGTTTTCTCAAAGAACTTCCCAAAATTCCATGCTCAATCCAAACCACAGACCAGTGATTCATGTCCCTTTTTTCCTATTCAAATCCTACCTACCCATCAAGAGCCAAATAAAATCCTACCTTCTCCATTAGACCCTTCTTGACTGAACCATGTCCCCCAAAGCATCCCCCCTCCCATTTTATAAACTATTATAGTATTTTTGCCTGTACCACTTATCTTACCTCAAACATACATTGTTTTGGGTTGTTGCTTAATTCCTTCCTGTTCAGTAGCTTTTTCTCTTCAATTAGATATAAACTCCTAAAGAACAGAGACCATGTGTTACATTTATTTTTTTATTCCCCTTGGTGCCTAGCTCAGTGCTCAGTGAATGTATATGAATGAGTGAGAAATGAATTAAAATGAAAGATGTAAGTTTTGTAGTTCTTACTGATTTTTATCCTTATAAATTAAAGAAAGAACTCTTTGAAGCAAAAACAATTACTTTATTTAATTAAGGAAATAGCAAAAAGGTAATGCTGAATAATTTTATTTTATTTTTAAAGTTTATTTATTTATTTATTTTGAGGGAGAGAGGGGGAGAGAGAGAGAGAGAGAGAGAGAGAGAGAGAGAGAGAGAATCCCAAGCAGACTCTGTGCTGTCACCGCTGAGCCCAACACAGGGCTTGATCTCACAAACCATGAGATCATGACATGAGCCAAAACCAACAGTTGGTCACCCAACAACTCAGGCACCCAGGCACCCCTATACTGAACAATTTTAAATAGAAACAGAGCATAGGCCAGAAAAGTAAGTATGGAGAACTTTTTAGATACTCCTGAATTAGGACTTCAGTATGGTGGCTGGGCTTTTTTTCATGTAATGTTCACTATCTGAACACCTAATATGGGCATATTGAGAGGTAAAAATAAAAACATTCTAAGGACAAATAGAAAATATTCTTAGATTATCTATATATACTGCTTGTCTATGCCCCTAATACAAATGACTAAAAGTCAATTCTACTTCTTTTTAGATTTTCCAATTGTCTTAACAATAATTCTCTTGGGAAATAAGCCCCATGAGATCGCTCCTTCTTTTTTTTTTTTTTAATTTTATTTATATGAAATTTATTGTCAAGTGGTTTCCATACAACACTGCTCATCCCAAAGATTGCCCTCTCAATACCCCCACCTCTCCTCCCTCCCACCCCATCAACCCATAGTTGTTCCTGGTTTCTCATGATCTCTGTCTTTGGCTCTCTCCTCTAACCTCTTTTTTTTTTTTTTCCTTCCCCTCCCCCCATGCAGGTTTCCTGTTAAGTTTCTCAGGATCCACAAAAGGCCCCGAATAGCCAAAGTAATTTTGGAGATCCCTCCTTCTAATCCTAAGACATATGAAAGGGTTACATTTTTTCATTGTAACAAACATGCTTGGATCCCAAGTCCCTGCCCAGGCCTTTCTGGCTTGGGTTTTATGCTTTTTTGTCCCTGTTGACAGATACAAGCACCTTGGGTGTAACTGTTATTTGGAACAAGAGCGTAAATCAGAAAGGTAGTCATGTTTGCATCATTATAAATGTGCTTTCTTGTAGGGCAAAGGGTTTAGTACTCATTATAGCACTTCCTTCAGATTCCCAGAGCTATTTGGTGGCAACTTTGTTCTTTTATGCAGCAGCATTCCTTCCCTTGGCGGTGTTCCTCTATTAACACTGGATGTATACCTGTTGACTGTAACCCCAACCGACTGCTACTCTACAGGGCCCGTTGTTGCAGGAGTGGTGGGTCTCACCATGCCCAGATACTGCCTGTTTGGAGACACTGTGAACACAGCTTCTCGGATGGAATCAACAGGGTTACGTGAGTACCTAAGTGATGGGATCGGATTGGAAAAGTGATTATTCTTTGAGAGGGGGAAGGAGAGCAGGGTACTTGGGATTTTAATGTTTTTTTTTTTTTTTAAAATAAAACATAATTTGAGAAGATTAAGGAGATTCTATACACATATTTCCTGGTCTCTAATCGCAAGCCAGTAGGGGGTGATGTTGGATTAAACATGTACCTTTCTTGTTCTAGAAATGAAGCTGTAGCTAAGTGACACTGAAATAGTCAATTTTCTCAAAGCAACTATAAGTGTCCTTTGGGTAAAGAAAAAAATTGGCCAGCCGGGTGGGTTTGGGGAAGTCATGTTGAAAAGAGAAATAAGTAAGGGACTGGGATGTTTAGTTTTTCAACTAGTTTGTGGAGACATACCCAGAGTAAGCTGCCTCCTACAGTGCCGTTGTTTGCTGCTCTAGTCCTCTTTCTGAGCTAGTCAGGATCCCAGGAGTTCTGATTTTATCAAATAGCGCCCCCCTCCCCCCCTTTGAATTGAGCTAGCAATAATCCCTCAACCTAAGGAGCGTGGAAATCTGAAATAATTAATTCCAATTTGCTTATATATGAAACCTTTAGTTTCTATTAAAACAGGCAAAGATACCATTTCTTCCCCCCTTCTTTGGGAATAAAACTGTACAAACCATTATGCCATCTGTCTGTTGCTGGTGCCTCTTTATTTGTTATTTACTGCCACTACTAAGGCAATGTCAGAATCACAATGTGCTTTTAACTTTATCATGGTTGAGCAAAGCAATTTGTTTATGCTAATATAGGAAAAGTGTAGAAAACAATAATAGGTTCTATATACAGTTTACATGGATTATATGTTTTAAAAACACTTAAGCTCTTAGCAACCCTGGCTCTGGCTGCTACTGGGCAAGACAAGCTCTTCCCAAACTCCAGCAGTATACACAAACTAGTCCCTGATGATATATGGTGGCCTATATCACAGTGGGTGGTGCCCTGTCTGACCCCACTCCTCATCACTCATGTTCAGAAACAGGTTTGCACAATGGGTCCAGTCTTAGTCAATCTAGCCTGTGCGGCCATGATTAAGGAGGCAGCACGGAACTTAGAAGCTGTTGTCAGAATAAATTTTCTGGCATCTGGGAAAGTCTTCGAACTCCACAGACATGGCAGAAGCCATGGAAGTAGTCATCCAGGAAACGCTGCATGCATATGACTTTGTTCTTGAAGTGCAACCCAAGATGAAGTGAAATTGATCATGGAACCTCAATGCAGATTTGGCACGGTATTCTGGACTGATGTAAGCTTCTAGAAGACTGAAGTCATATTCTGGTCTGCACCAGGGAGACTCCACTCATTACACATTGGAAATACAGAGCTGAGAGAAGAAATTGAATTTTCAGATTTAAGCAGCACCTTGTCCAGTGATCAGCTAGAAATAAGAAAATGGAGTGAATCATGCACAGCAGGTGTTTATTAAGCACTGACTGTGCAAGGAAGACATTGTGAGGGATACAAAGAAACATACACATGTAGTCACAGCATTAAAGGAGCTGTGAAATATGGCAGTAAGCTCCACACCTGATTGAAGATTTATAAAGAGGTAGCTTCATGTTGGATATGAGATCAGGACATGTCATAGGTCTATTGAAAAATTAATTTCATCAACGTCTCCTTTATGCCCAGTTGAATTAACTGGAAGTAACTAGTGACCCAGTCATGGCATGATTCTCCTTGCCACACAACTGGATGCTTGTTGGAATGAGCTATCTCTCTCTTTTGACCTGGGTATTCCCCACTAGTAGGATTATGACTGACGACCAGATGCTAGTTGAATGGCACACATAGTGCTGGCTAGGGACACCCAGATGAACATGTGGGTTTTAGGGACCCTTTTTGAGCAGAGGTTTTGGGTGACCATGAGTTAGTGAGGAAGACACAAACAATACTGAACTGTCAAAAGAAGGAAAATTATTTTAAGTACACAAAGCAGAAATTTCTTGCAGTTCTTTCTAGCCATGCCTTCCGGCTTTGATTGCTCTCAGCTTCTAAATGAATTATTTTCTCAAGTGTGTTTGTGAATGTCTTGAACTTTTATTCAAGACCCAACTTGAACAAGGTTTTACTTCATAGGATAATAGTTTTCAGGAAAGTCAAGGATTCTACCTCAGTTTATAAATGATTGTTCATCACCAAAGAATTATACTTGGTTTCTACATAAAATTTTTAGTTGTAATTCTCCATGTAGAACACTCTTATCCCAGGTTGGACTCATTAATTGGAAAAGAATACATTTGTGTGTATACACAGCTAGATGTATGCATCCAAAGGAAAGCTATAAATGCACAATTGCCACAGAATGTTGACAGAGGTCTTGGGACATTTTTCAGTGATGTTTTATTTTAAGTGCAGCAATACTGAAAGATAGTTGTATAGATGTGTATGCAGAAAGACACCTTTTTGTCTCTTAAGTAGGATATGTAGACCTTGGGAGCTCTGCTTTAGCAGCAGCCTGTGAAAGAAGCTGCTGAAGCCGAACTTCCCTCTGAGGAGGTCACGTTTCAGCTGGGAGCACAGTAGTGGTAGCTGGTTTCTCAATCACAACCCTCGAATTAAATTAACACCTTTCTATTGCATGACCTTTCATCTCAGATAGTGTCCAGGAGGCTGATAGGTGCTACACCTAACACCTTATTTGGGTCTGTTGAGGAAGGCCATCACTCCTTGTTCCTCCTCCTGTGAAACCCTAACTGAAGCTCTCTCTCAGGCACTTTTCTTAGGGTCTCATTCATTTAGAAGCAGGGGTATTTATTACATTAATATTTTTCTCATTGATTTTACCTGAAAGGATCCAGAGTCATTTCTGTCTTTCTTTTTACAGCTTATCGCATTCATGTCAGTCACAGCACCGTGACAATTCTTCAAGCTCTAAGTGAGGGCTATGAAGTGGAGCTTCGAGGAAGAACAGAGCTCAGGGTATAATGTCCTTTTGTTTTTTTTTTAAATCAAACCACTTGGACACACCTGCTTCTGGAGAGGTCATGGTCTGCTGAAAGAGTTTACCTGGATGTCTGAGACTTAGAGCTATAATTTGGGTAGAATATCCAGCCCTATTTTCAGTTCCCAAGAGATTGTTCCTTTTTTCCTCGGTTTTCTTCTCTTTAAGTATGGCTACAATAATGGGGATTAAGACTCCTGAATTTTTCAGACTATGAGCTGTATCTTTCTCTCTTAAAGAATTGCCCTGAATTTGGTTTTTCAATGATCTGCACTATTATTTACATTTTCTAACTTCCATTTTGTTTATTCTTTGGCAGTTCTAGACATTGTTCAATAAGCTAAAGTTATTAGTGAGTTTGGGCTTTCTATTTGCCTTCTCAGTGGCCACCCTTTCTAATTTTTCATTCACACCATTAACCTTCCATTTACAGAGAGGCTTTATGACTTTCCCCAAGGACCAGGAGGAATAAAGTCAGTTCCTATGAAAGACAAACATTTTGTAGCACATTTTCTCTCTGTTAGGACTATCAATTGATCTGGGATTCAGGATTAGAATAATTTCCCCCCTCCTTCCTCCCTTTCTTCCATCTGCCTTCCCTCCCATTTTCCTTCCCTCCCTCCCTCCATTTTCCTTCCTTCCTTCCTCTTTCTTTCTTTCTTTCTTTCTTTCTTTCTTTCTTTCTTTCCCATCCCATCTCCACTGGATTCTTTTCATCTTCCTCTGGATAACCCCAGAGCCCCTGGCTGCCCCATTTATAAGAGACTGTATATATCTGATCATCTAACTTCTTCATTTTGAGCTGAAGAATCAAGGCCCAGAGAGGTGAAGTAATTTGATCAGGGTCACACAGTCATTTGATGGCAGAATCAGGCCAAAACCCAGGAAGCCTGAATTCCCACTCAGTACCCTTTCTATGATACCATTGCACAGGAAAATTATTTTCTCAATGATTATATTTGGGCAAAGCCACACCTGGATACTGAGTGATGCACAATTTGTTTCTGTCATTGGCATGCCTTCCTCAAATGGCAGCGATTTACATGTTAAAGGATTTCAGAAGTTAAAGGTTGGAAGGCTTGATTCTAGTTGATCAATTCCTTTTCTGGCTAGTTCTAGTTTGTCTCCTCCAATAGATCCTAATATCTTCTAGCAGGTCATTTATGAGGGGACAGATGTTCCTTTCCCACTTCTGCAGAGAACTCAGTGAGAGGATAGGAGTGGCAATATTACTTGAACAGTGAATCAAATCACCCAAGGCTTTTGTGATCCCTCTATATATTGTCATTTCTCAGTAGAGGAGGACAAAGGCAGCTTTATCTCCTGTGGTACTTTCCTCTCTGTATTGCTGGGAACAGATTCCCTCATTTACTGGACCCCAGTCCAGTAGGGACTGGGGGACAGGAGATTCCTTGTCCCTTGGGGGCATGCAATATATCCCCAATAAGACCATATCACCAGCACACTTCACAAATTCTGAGCCAATATTTCCATCCCTCATTCAGTCTGTGTTGCTGGAAAGCAAGGAATGCTTTAGTACATGGGTCAGAAGGACCACACTTGATAGACCACCAGGTGTGATGGCAAAGATGATGGCTGAAAGCATCCTCTCCTTCCAGCTGGTTGAAGTTTGAAATTCTTCCATCAGAGCCTCTTCTCTTGGGCTCAAGGATTGGATCAACAACACTCTTTTCCCATTCCATCTCCTTCATTGGAGTGATGACACTTTAAGTTGTTTCCCTTAGTAGAATCAAAGGTGTAGATTGGATTGGGTGAGAGAAGAAAACATAGTATAGTTGAGCAATTCGGTGGGTGGGGGTTACAAAGAAAGCTGTCAGAATGAGGAAACTGAGGTAGATTGGGGGAGGACTCATTTAGAGGTGACAAGCTCAGCCTCTCTGGGGAGTTGTCTTACTGCCCACTCCAACTCCCTCTAGTCCTGTACTGGCAACAAATCATGAGTGCTTAACTGGCCAATTCTGCTTTTTCAATATTTCTCTCCTAATGGCCTGGTGATATGTCATCTTATTACCTCTTTTCTTACATGATTCCTGTTTCGGTTACCATTTTTCTGACAAGTTGGAAGCTTCTTGCTGAGACCTTGTATATATCTAGACTTATCAGATGTGTTTACTAGGGCTTCTTTTTTTTTTTTTTTT